AGCTCTCAGTGTTCTGACTCATAAAATGAAGGCAAGTACAAAAGAGTTTATGTGCATGCTCATTTGCATCTGTACAAAGCCCGAGAAAAATATATGGCCATAATCCCATATAATATCTACATATTGTATAGAATATTGAGCTGATTACAAACGTATGCTTCTGTGACCTTTTTGAATAAATGACTGGGTTTTGTGGACCGGAGGCTAGAGATCATGCTTGCTCCTAAGGCAGCGAAGCAGATGGTGCATTAATAATGGGGATATTAGGAAGATCGGCTTCCCAATTCCAGTGTATTCATTAACACACTTTAGACAGTTTAATTGCTTCCTGAAACACTAATTGAAAGAGGTTCATTTGCAAACGCCTAGGTTCTAATAATATAAATCTGGCGCAGTGCCACAAAAGCCCCTTAAATACCATTATAAGATAAATTGTGGCATTTAACTATAGACAGCTAGATTTTAAAAATAAAACCGGGACAGTGAAATGTATAAATTTCTTTCAGTCTGTGGAAAAAAAAAAACACAGTACATGCGAATCTTCCCAGCACTGGGGTTTGTGCGGTGCTCGCCAACGTCACACAAGGGAGCCCTGGGACTATGAACATCTGGCAAACTCTGTGACTCCAGCAGCACAAAGCAGAGTGTTCTCGTTTACATAAACTTATTTCCTCCAGGAGTAGCTGTGGAATCTATTATTTCAAGAGAATATGTGACTAAGTGTTGTTACACCTTTGAGCGAAGGACTATCCCTCTTAGAATCACGCTGCCTACTGACCTTCCTTAAGTCGGATTTCATGCCTCTGTAGGCATATTGATTCTGCACACGCCTCCCCGGTGTTTACCAAACAAAACTCTGAGCAGTTAGGATGAGAATACATAAGGAGTTTGCTTCGATGTGAAAAACGAGTACAGATTGATCGTCGTAGCAATTTCCAGTTTCGTTTGGTGGAGTAATTTCTGGCATGAATGACGGGTGTTGATGGATTACTGGTTGGCTGATGATGCTGCGAGTAAACCATGCGCTTGTTATGAGAAAGCAGCGATCAGAAATGCTCAAAAATCTCCCACCAAAGGATGCCATCCTCTACTTAAAGCACGAAAGGCACGTTTTTCATCAGTTCTCATTGAATTACCTTCCAGGAACTCAGCTCGGGTTCATGCCCAGGACTGTCTTGGGAGTATGTGACATTCACTTAGAAAATGGACAAGTGAGCCTCACATTCAAAATGCAAAATGTGGAATAAACTGGAAATTAGTAGCTCAAATACTTTCAGGAAAGATGGGTGGCATACAAATAGGAGGAGAGAGAGTGCCATGTAAACTTTGTGGAGAGACAACAGAACCATTCAGTGTCAAGATCCACTGAGCTTCCCAAGGAGGAAGTAATTTCCTCTCAAGAAAATAAGAAATGACTCATTGCTCTCAAATAGTTGCTCAGCCCTGTTAGTGTTATTGGGGTAGGAGTCTAGCTCACAGTCTTACCTGTCATAAACAGAAGTTGGGTGACAGTGTTTCCATGTACATGTATACAATTTGGACCAGGCTTATTAATCTATAGTGGTATGTGGGTGCTTATTGTAGCTTGCATCTCAGTTACAAATTTAAATGTGTTTTGTTGTTGGTGGTTAAAGAAACATTAGAATTAAATTGTGTGTTTTAATTTAAATATAAATAATAAATATTACCTCATTTCCTCATTACCCAGTCTTTTGACCTTAACCTCCCCAAAGACTTGTTGTGACTTGAATAAACAGTTAGATTAAGTATCTATCACAGAAATAATCTGTAATTGTATGAATTTTACTCTTTTCTCTTTTTCCTCTCCATTCTCTTTTTCCTCTCCATCTCCCTTTCTCTCTCCCCCCTCAATCCCTTTCTTTTCCCCCTCTGCATTTCTCTTTCTCTTGCCTTCATCTCAAAGATTGATGAAGGAGTTGCTCACTAAACTTTGCTTGAGCTAAATTTAATTAAAATGGAGATGTGCAATTATTCTTTGGAAGGAATAGAAAGAAAGAAATAGAAAGTTGGTTATACAGCAGCCCAAGCTAGATTTAGGGAAAGCCAATAGTATCCAGGTTTGATTTAATTGATGAACACATTGAATTGTTTGTTTAACATTCTTAAAATGGCAAGTTCAAATATTTATGCCTAAGGACTGAAACTACATTCATGTAAATATTCTCAGGACCAAAATATAGTAGGACCTATATCCTTTGGATTTTATCTAGTCTTTTCCACTTTATTTTACTACATCAAAAACTACATGTAACTAATAAGAAAAATAAAATTAAAAAAAAAAAAAAAACTACAGGCCAGGCTCAGAAACAAGGGATGTAACCAAGTAAATCATCTCTCTCCTCATCTCTTTCCTTTATCCCTCTATTCAGTGAGCTCCCAAAACTAGGAATCATTCTGAAGTTCTCTCTTACAAGCATATCCCCTCAGTCATTAAGTTTTGCATAACTCCTGGATTCTTATTGTTTTTTTTTCTCTTCTTCTTCTGTCCTGACCTCTTTAACCAATCCTTCACATAGTTCCTCTCTAATCAAATGTGCAAACTTGAAGTCTAACTTGCCGCCATGCTCTTATGATCTACCAAATAAAGAACAAATTCTCTAGAGAAGTGGACTTCCATTCTATCTGGCCAGGACTTTCTTACTTGCAGGGTTTTGTTATAGGTCAGGAGAGTCTTTTTCTATAAGCTCCAAGGAGCCATTCAAGTCATTCAGTGATTATATTCACACACACATTGTAATTTCTTTAACTTTCTAACAAGTCATAATTTTTTATTTAAAATTTTTATAACCTCAGTCATTTGCCCAGAGATTGGCAAGTAATAGCTGTTTAATAAATAAATGTCTGTCAAATGTAATGAAACATAACAAAGGCAAATAGTAAGGCTTGAGTTTGGTAAAAAAAAAAAAAAAAAAAGCTAGGCAGAGAAAGAACCATGTAGGGTCAAATTAAGGGGCTCACTCAAGGTATGTCTCACAGTAAGACATAATAAGCATTTATGTGGCACATCTATGTAATGACAGTTAGCAATAGAACCATACAGTATATAGACTAGGTCTGTCTGATTTTGTTGCTCAGATTTTCATAGCTTTTTTTATGGATCTAGGATTTATAAGATGAAAACAAACTATGTATGTATGATTTTGTGTGTGTGTGTGTGTGTGTGTGTGTGTGTGTATTTCTATCTGAATGTTCATATATGCTTTTGTGTTTCAACACATTGAGGACACATATTAAAGCCCATTTGTGAGAGTATCGACAAGTTACACACATAGGCTTTAAGCTTTAATATATCAAAGTTCTTATCAGATTGGTTACAAAGTGTCAAATTTTCCTACTTAGAAGGGTATGTCTCTGATAAAATGCAGAATCATGGCTTTCTCAGGAAAAGTTTGTCTGCTACTTTTTTTTTTGTTTGTTTATTAGTTGTTTGTGAATTTCACCTCATACCCAATTTCACTCATTTCCCTATCCTCTTGTACCCACCCTCCCCTCTTGTATCCTCCCCCACAATAGAGGGGGGAAAAACTTGTGGAAGCTGCAGTGTGTCACAGAGTGTCCCACAGTAAATTCTTTTGTCTACACTTCTTTGCTTGTAAGTGTTAATTGCAATGACTCCTTGGTCTGGTAAGAGACCTCTGGCTTCTGCTCCTCTATCATACTGAAACCTTACTGGGTCTCCTCTAGGCTATCCAGTTGTAGCCCTGTGTACTGTGGTTTTGGATCTGTATGACTGGCCCCTTCATGCATGCCAGCAGCTAATCTATGGGGTAGATTCAAATCTAAGGACTGAAACTACAGAGAATTCAAAGTGAGAGAATTCAAAGTCCTGGATGTGGGCCTGAGAGGTATCTGAACTGGCTGGCTCTCACACTCTCACTCTCTTCAGGGCAGGTTCACCGCAACCCTCACAACCAGGGCCAGCTCTACTCTGTTGCACAGCCAAGGCCGAGGGCCCACTCTCTGAGTGCTGCAGCAGGTGAAGGACAGGGCCAGCTCTCCTGTTCTCTTGGCTTCATTGGGGCTGGCTCTCCTGCCTGTCACAGATAGTGACGGGCAAGGGGGGAGGGAGAATCTCTCCTTTGTCCTCGCCACCACACTGGAGACAAGTGATAGAGTCATCTCACCCACAACTCCTGCAATGTTAATCCAGCTGTCTTGAATACAGCTGGCTAGGGATGGATTCAGCTTTCCTGCTCTCGTACCTTCAAGGCCAACTCTTCCACAATGTGTAGGTGAGAGGTGAGGCTAGTTCTATACAGTTCTCAGGCATTAACATGTCCCGGACAGCAGTCTAGACCAGGGGTCTCTTCCTGGACTTTGATGGTAACAAACCCCAGCGGTTGCTGGGTCATGGGCCAAGATGTAACCCCAGCAGCAGCACAGAACAGGACCCCACAATGGTCCCTAGTGGCATCACTGGTTACTCACATCAGGCTGTTTCTTACTACAGTTGAGTCTCCAGTTCAGCCTCTCTTTGTTGTATCCACAACCTTCTGTTCCAATTTTTTTTCCACTTCCCCACTTTCTTGCTCTTCTTAGTGGCAGCTGGGGTTTCTGAGTGCCTAGGATCATTTCAGGAGTGGTCTCAGGAGTGCCATGCCCCATCTGTGCATGCTGGCACAGAATAGGCGTCATCTTGGGCCTGGTCTGTCCCCCCCCAGGTTTGGGTGGCACCAGGCTGGTAGTCATCTTAGGCTAGTTCTTCATCTAGGCCTCTTAGTAGTGTTGGTCTGGTGGTCTCTGATTGCTTCCTGCCCAGCATACCGAAGCGGCCCTTGGAGAGGGTTGTCTGTCTTGGGCTCACTCCTGCTCAGGGTCAGTATCCCGGGCTTGGTTCTTCTAGTCTCAGGCTTGCTCCGGGTTCTGGGAGCCCATGTGGGCCTGCCTGGCACCACACTGGTGGTGGTATCAGGCTAGCTCCCAGTCTGGGCCCCCTGGTACGGGAATGGTGGTCATCTCAGACTTACTTTTTTTCAGGGAAAGTTAGGCTGCTAATCATTCAGGTGTTCATAGGTCAGAACACTGAGTGTAGACCTAGTCTCTCTCCTCTCTGTCACCTACTGATGCACACGCGACACAGCAGCCTCACCTGCAACACTCTTAGGGGCAGGTTTTCTGGTTCTTTTACACAGAGGTCCTGAGAGAAGATGGATTGGAAAATAAGCTGTTACCACTTAAGGAGAACAATGAGATTTACTGATATTTTAATGGAAAATAGAAAGAAGGTGGAAATGAAGAATGAATTCTAAATGTGTGTGTGTGTGTGTGTGTGTTTGCAATATGTGTTCATGAATGTGAAGCTGCATTTATTTAGCATTTAGTGGCCAGAGGTCAACACCAAGTGTTATTTTGAGACAGAGTCTTTCAGTAGTCTGGAACTTGAACTCACTTATTCAGCTAGGCTGGCTAGCTGGCAAGTCCCAAGGATCTGCCAAATAGTACTGGACTCACAAGCATGAACTACTATTCTTTTAATGGGTCCTGGGGATTGAACTCAGGCCCACATGTTTGCACAAACAGAGCTTCCAAACTGAAGAGGCTCCAAGCTCCTGGGTCAAGGTTTTGTAGGTATGCTACTCAGATTAGATTCTGATAGATTATCTATTATGTGATTGTGTCATGGCTGGCGACTTGTAAGAAAACGATCGAAGTCATGAGGAAGCCTTTTTTTTTTTAAAAAAAAAAAAAAAGGAGGATGCAAAATAGTCAAAGGTCTTTGGGGTTAGACTCCATGGGGTATGAAAGTTTGGGTTCTCATGGTAGGTATCAAAGGCCACCCCTAAAGACTAACCCCCTGTTTTCAATATTTAAATGCCTACCAGTGTTAACCACTCTCATTACTTTCTAGCCTCTATTTTTCATGACTTTCTCTCTATTCACTACTGAAGAGTTCCAGCTGTAAACAAGGAATTGCTCTAATAATTGCCACTAACATTTGGGCCAAATCAAGTGAGGTGTTTGAGGGTAAATGAGGATTCAAAAGTTACAAATACCAGAAAAGAATCAAAAGACAGTAGGTGCCTTAAATTGCTTATAGTTTACTTAGTTGCCTCAGAGTTGTATTTACTGGCAGAGTGATAGGTAAGAAAGTGTGTTTGTGTGTGCATGCATTCCCATGAATGCATGTATACAGCTGCATACACCATGTACTTCATACAGAGGCCCGGCGGTGGTGTCAGGCAGCTTCCTTTATTGTTCTGGACTTTAATTTTTGAGACAGGGTCCCTCTTCAAACACGAATCTCACCATTTGGGCTAGCCTGGCTGCCCGGCGTGTTCCAAGGGTCAGCTTACCTCCACTCCCAGGTTCTGGGGTTGTGGGCACAGGAAGTCAGTAAAAGCTACGTGACCTAAAAGCCTCAGGTGACCTAGGAAACTCCAGATAGGAAAGTTGAGAGGAAGGTAAGTAACATCTTCAACAGCCAGTTAGAATCAGAGGAGCCTCAGCTAAGAAAATCAGCACTCCAAGCTCCACTGGTATTTACAACGTTTCCACTGCAGGGAAACTGAGCTACAAATGGAATCACCCACAGCTTCCTGCCTTATAAAAGCTCCAACTCATCTGTACCTAGGTGCGGAGTCTCCACCCCTACCGAGAGCCTGCTGCTGTCCTTCATTGTTCTGTTGAGCTCAATCTCCGCTTTCTTTATTTCCACATTGCCTCAATCAACTCATATCTAACAGCCATGACTAGCTTTTCCATAGATGCCATCAAAGACTTTCACAACACGCCTTCTCACTGACTGAGCCGTCTCTCCAGCCTCTATAATAAATTTTTTAGCCATATCCTTTGTGTCTCTCCCTTCCCCCCTCTCTTTCCTGTGTTCTCGTGTGTGCACAAACACAACTGTAGATCACGAAAATCCACAGTAAATAATTTCTTCTCTACTTGTTTGCATTTTCTTTTTGTACAAATCTTGACAGAATTTGCCTTGCAAATCAAAAGTTAGAATTGAGATGGAAAGAAAGCGGGTTTTGGATTGACAGAAGGTGAGTTTTAAAGACTGGGGCAGCGTCGATAGGTGCACTCTTGTTTATGCTCATGAGAGCAGGCTAAGGGAATCTTTGTTTAGTGACCTTAGGAGTTCACCATGACCTGAGCCCAGTGAAACTTCTTTGAAATAGCCCCAGATTTCACAGTAACCCCTCAGAAGGCCTCATGCAAGGGCCATTTTTTCCACCTCTAATCTAGCTAAGTATCTCAATGCGATTGTAGTCTGGGGTTGTGCTGTTTGTTGTGTCCTAGTGGAAAGCCTCATTTTGGAGTGGGAAGGGAATCAGAAGAGAGGCGGAAGATGTGGCTCAGTGGTGAAGCATTCTTACTGATTCTCCAGAAGATGTGAGTTTATTGGATCTCCAGCACCCACACCAGGCAGTTTCCAACTCATAACTCCAGCTTTAGGGGATCTGACACTCCCCACTCCAATGGCTTTGAGGGCCACCTCCACACACATGACAGACTCTCCCACAGACACACGCTCATTCACATTTATAAAATATAAATTTTTACATTTTTTGAGGTTATAGTTACAACAATCACCCTCCCTTTGCTTTCCTTTCTCCAAACTCTCCCACATACTCATCCCCACTCTTTCAAACTCATGCCCTTTTTCTTCCACCAATTGTTACTGCATGCATGTACCCCTTCCCCTTTCCTTTGTTGTAAAGGCCCAAGGTAGGAAGTAGCCTGGCGAAGTTGCCTTAAGGATATAGGCATGTGAAAGCAATTTAAAATACTAATTTTTATGAGATGCCATCCAGTATGAGAAAGGGAAGTAGCACTTGATAGGATTCTAGCCTTGTTTTTCCCTATGGCTTGATTTTAACTCTGATTCATACCCCCGCTATGCTTTCAATTGAGATTAGACTTTGTTTTCAAAGATGTTAAAAACAAAATGGCATTTGGTCCACTTATGTAATTTAGCTCAGTTCTTTCCTTTTTATTCATTTTTATGACATGAATAGAATAATACATATGTTCCTAAATACTTAATGCAGTTCTAATAAGTACAGCTGTATTAAATTTTACCAGATGAAATACTTATGTTTATTAGTTCTACCTGAACATGATGGCATGACAAGCATTCTCACATTTTATGTGTGTACTCACTCACACACACAAACACACATGCACACACACAGACACACACACACATGCACACAAATTTACCTGTGTATAGAATCCAGAGGCTTCGAGTCTCTTCTTTTGTCAGTCCATCTTATTCTTTGAGACATGTTCTCTTACTAAATCTAAAACTTCCATATTTTACAAGGGTAATAGGCCAGAGACTCCAGAAATGTTCCCCACCTCCAGGGCAGGGATTAGAGGCATGTGCCCCCATGCCTCTTTTTCCAGGACTGCTAGGCTTCAAAACTCAGGTCCTCATGCTTGCATAGCAAGTACTGTTCAGACTAAGCCATCTCCCCATCCCCGAGCAGCTCAAATTCTATACAATCCTCTCCTCTCTCATATCAAGTACCCCAAATCAGTGAGGATTTAGTTGATATGAACTTTATAGAAGAATATAGTTTGTTCAGTTTGATATTTTGGATCACTTGACTTTATTATCTAATTTGGGTTATGTTTAAAAGTCAAAGTCATTAAATATTTTAAGTTTCCTTTGAGGTTTGTCTTCTCTTATTAGGATTGGGACATGGAGGGAAAGGATATCTGAAGGAAATTGGTAATGAATTTGCCAAGCCTCATGTGTAAAAAGGGTCAAGTTCCTATGCAATAGAAAAGCCCTAGTTCCTGTAAAGAGGAGTGGAAGAGGAGAACTCGATTCCAAAACTTAGAGTTTCAAGGAGATTTAGAGGTCAACTCTATTCTTCTTTAACTAAATGTTTAGAGGAAAGCTATTTTATTCTTTTAGTTAAGATCTGTGTATCACAGGCTAGCATAGAACTTGCTGTTTAGCGGAGGATGACCTGGGACTTCTGATCTTCTTGACCCCTCCTTCTGAGTGCTGGGATTACAGCTATGTGCCACACACTCAGTTTATGAGGTGCTAGAGACAAATCCAACAGTTTGTGTACACTACCAAGTCCTCTAGCCACAGTGCTATACTCTCAGGCTCATGTTTTTCCCTATAGTGCAATGCCCAGGAAAGAGGAAAGGTGAGAGACGTGCTGTCAGTTCAAGGGTCTTGACTGTGGTGTTGGAGATAAACTATAAAATCATCTGTCTTTTAGGATGTGTTCAATTTATATAGTAATCCTACTACCCTAATGACCATCTGTCTTATAGCTAAAGAAAGTCAGTAATGGTCCTCATTTGTTTGCTGAGGTTATGGGCTTTGATGACAAAACAAGCCAGACATCCAAAAATATGTTTCAGCTGCTAGACAGACTGCTTGCACAACAGTGTGGACTGATATAGCTCAAGGAACATGTGTTTGTCTATCTGCCTTGTAAAGAGATTGAAGGAGTTCTCTTTCTTTCTTTCTTTCTTTCTTTCTTTCTTTCTTTCTTTCTTTCTTTCCTTCTTCTTACATCTCTTTGTATATAAACTCCTGGGAGTTTGGCTATGTGTCATTAGCCTTTTGAATGTAAAATATAGTCTTGAAAAGAACTTGGATGACAACAAGAGAATTTGAATTTCTACATGGCTTCCAGTAACTGACTTGACAGCTTTAGACAGACATATTGATTAATAATTATGTCCCTGGCAGTAAGTATCTCCACTAAGCCATTCCCCATTTTATTATAGTGTAAATATGTAATCTGCATAAAATTAAAGCCGTTATGTACTTGAAACATTGCCTGCTCGAGAGATGCTTACTCTACAGAACAACCATGTCTCAAATACTAACTCCTTTTTATTTTTTATTTTTTTGTCAGTTCAATACAATTTATTCTATTTCTCCATTTCAAAACTATATTTTTCCTGTATTATCATTTTGTCTAAACTATGCTATCTTCATCTTAGCTGATTCTTTATAAAGTTGCAAATGATAACGACTGTAAATGTTCTGTGTTCATGTTGCCACCTATGATAAACGTTGAGCTGTTAAATTATGAATTTGTGGTCTCATTACTCACCATACTAGTCCAGGCCAAAGGCTCCCCTAAGACATGTCAGGTTTCATCTAAACACAATCAACAGCAAGTAT